CAGAAAGGAAAAGGCACCTCATCGGCAGGAAGAAATTCCTCCTACAGACAATCTTTCAAACACAATCCCTAGGACACTGTCAAAGGGAAGGAGAGATGCCTGAAAACCACCTCGTGCATCAGAAACAACAGACGCAAAAGCAGGGTCTGGGAGACTCCTCTGATCGCCGGCACCAGGCAAACGCATGTGCTACAAACCGGAGAATCACACCCATTGAACAGATGTGCTTCCAGCATTCGCCGCCAGGGAGACGCGTGTGAGACACACTGGGACCCCGCAGCTCCCCCGCTACGCGGCCGCGACGGACGAGGCTGAGCGGGTGGCATCGCGGAGGCCCCGGAGGAGCAGCACCTCACACGTCTCTGGTCGGAAGTATAAACGACGCTCCCACTTGGGAAAACAGGCTGCGGGTTCTGGAATCACCCGGCAAGTCCACGTTGGACCCCACGCCGCTCCCAGGTACGTACCCGAGAAGGGAGTCGGGTGCCCGCACAAAACCTGTGCACCAGCACTCGCAGCCGCGTGGCCATCGTGTCCACAAAGGGGCACCCACTCAACGGCCCCACAAATGCTCAATGGCTAAAACAAAACGTGTCAGCTTGAAGAGCACGTACTGGGCGACTCCATTTAATCAGGAGGCCCGTCCCTGGAAGCCGAGAGAACGCAGTGGCTGAGACGGGGTAAAAATGGGGAGGGACCCCTGGTGGGGACACGGCTGCCTCTGGGGGTGAGGAAGACGTTCTAAAGCTGACCACATGACAGGTGCCCAGCCCGATGAATGTGCTACACACCAGGAAATCATACACCATAAAACATATAAAGTATACATACACATATAAATAAAACCTTGGATTTCAAGTCACTTGTTCCGAGAGTGTTCTGCAAGATGAGAAAACATTTCTAGTAAATTTTAACTTCATCAATGAGAGGATGTCTTACCATACTGGTCATACGTGATACCGGGTGTCACGTGATCACAATGGAGTCAATGGTTCTTGAAATTCACTTTAATATACAAGTGCTTTGGATGACCAGCATGTTTCTGAAACAAATTATGCTCACAAACCAAGGTTACTGTATGTGTGTGTGTCTGTGTGTGTGTCTATGTGCGTGTGTATCTATATCTATACCCATATCTATGTCTACATCTATACCTATATATCAATAAAGCCATAGGGCTAAAACATATGATGAACTATTGAAATAAATAAAACACAATTCTGAAGGGATCTAAGATAACAGGAAACAGTGAAAAGGTGCATATCAGATTCTTTAAATAACTAAATAGAGCTTTCAGAAACAAAAATTAAGTAGGCAAAATCAACAACGCAATGGGTGAACTTAACGGCAGATTCAACATGGTTCATGAACTTGAATGTGAATTAAAATAAATTATCCAGAGACCAAAAGGCTAAGAACACAGAGAACAGCGTGAGAGCTCTAACAGGCAGAGAGGAAGACAGTCTAAAAGCTGCTTTATTAGAGACGGACACAGAGCCCAGCTGTGAAGAGATGATGACAGTTTTCCAGAACTGATGCAAAACCCCAATCCAAGGATTCCAGAAAACTCACAAATGCCAAGCAGAAGGGAGACGAAGAAATCCAGACCCAAACTGACTGCAAGAGAGAGAGTGACCCCCCACGGTGGCCGCAGGGGCCAGCGATGCGCGAGTGGTGTCCTCTGTGGCCGCGGGGAACTGCGTCTAACAGCCAGCGCGATCTCCCGAGAAGGACAGCAGTGCGGGCGGCTTTCCAGACAACCCGCCACGCAGACACCTTCCCAGCAGCAGAAAGAGCGAAGGGCCTAAGTCAGACGGAAGGAAAACGAAGGACACAGAAATATATTTTTTAATTGGGGTGAATTTTTCAGACCTCGAAGACATACTAATGGGACACGCATGGTGGCCCCCATCACTGCCATTTGCTTCCTTTTCAGGACACACTCAACTTAGGGGAAAGCACGCTTGTTTTTGTACATGGCCCAAGTCCAACGGCTTTTACGTGCTTAAAGGGTTGTAGAAACACAACCAGACATAATAAAGGCAAATGCGTGACCAAGAGCAGTATGCCCAGCAAACCTGAAATATTTACTGTCTGGTCCCTTATGGAAAAGTCTGCTGACCATGGGTGCAGGTCACTGGGTTACAGGCGGGGCACTTTGGATTTGCTTGCTCTTATTTTCCACCATAGGTGAAAAAATATTTTCTTTTTTTTTTTTTTAATGTTTTATTTATTTCTAGGAGAGAGAGAGAGAGACAGCGTGAGCAGGGGAGGGTCAGAGAGAGAGGGAGTCACAGACTGAAACAGGCTCCAGGCTCTGAGCTGGCAGTCAGCACAGAGCCCAACGCGGGGCTCGAACCCACGAACCGCGAGATCATGACCTAAGCGAAAGTCGGACGCTTAACCGACTAAGCCACCCAGGCGCCCCAATATTTTCAATTAAAATAGCACCTTGTTCTTCTCGGGCAGGAAAATGGGGTCATAATGGGAGAATGTGGTAGGAGGGGACTTACAAATTAAAGCACAGGAGACACGGATGAGGGGCAGGCTCCTGGCCTCGTCTGAGAAGAGCTTTCCTGTCGTGGGTCTGTCTTCCACGAGGAAGGCCACACTTTCCTAAGAAAAGCGAGTTTCTCCTCAAAACAAAATTTAAATCCGTGGAGTTTGAATGACTGGACAGAATTGCTGGTATGCGTGAATTTATATTTGAAAATTTCAAATGGACCCAATTAGAGATAAATAAATATCCCTTATTTTAAAGATGGAAGCCTTTTGAGAGAAAGCCTAGACTCTGCTGGAGCGAGTCCGTGCATGGGGAGGGGGTGGCGGGCATCCTGGGGACAAGCCCAATGCACACAGCTCGTGGCCCCCATGCTGCCGTGGCTCAGCGTCCGGGAAAGCCACAGGGACCCGGGCCACGGCCGCACGAGTCTCCCACCCTGACGACCACCATGTTGTCTGTCCGGTGTTGCCTGCGTTCCAGACAAATCTCCTGGAGGAGCCAGGGGTGGCCGTGAAGGGACGAGCCCGAGAAGGGGACTGTAAGACAGGGGACGACGCTGGCCTCGAGGCGCCGTGCTCGACACCGAAAGTCATGGTGTGTCCAGGACGCCCTTGGGGAGGCCGCGAGGCCCAGGACCGTTCACGAAGCGGCCGGTGCCCAGCACTGGGGTGTGGACAGCGCAGGGAAGGTGCCCTGGAGCCCACCAGGGCTGTGATGTAGGCAGGGTGGTCCTGGAGAAGCTTGTGAGAGGGGACTCTGGAGTAAAACACAGTCCTGGGCATAAACTACAGACAGGCCTCTCTTCCTCCACATTAAATGATTCCGTGGCTGCTAAAAATCACATTTCATACACTCTTCCTCTCAGATTGCTGATTTTTTAAATGTTTATTTATTTATTTTAAGAAGGGGTGGGGAGGGGCAAAGAGAGAGGGAGGGTCAGAGAGAGAGACAGAGAGAGAGAGACAGAGACAGAGAGAGAATCTCAAGCAGGCTCCACGCTGCCGGCACAGAGCCCGACGCAGGGCTCAAACCAATGAACTGCGATCATGACCTGAGCCAAACTCAAGAGTTGGACGCTTAACCGACTGAGCCCCCAGGCGCCCCATCAGATGGCTCATTTTTTACATTGTAAACCTTAGGTATAATTTTTCTGTCTATAACTCTAGGCTGACGTTTGAGATTCTCTAAAACGCTGCTGATCAGAGGAATCTACTATGTTCACTCATTATAGTGACTCCGTACAGCACAGCACAAACACAGAGGGACCCATCGTGCGTTATATTCTTCACACAAAGACGTGTCACCGTAGGACTTAAGTCATGCATGACCTTTGACAATAAAAATGCATTTGAACTCTTCAGTTAACCAGCATTTACTGCATGATGCTATTTAATACAATATTAAATGTATGTAAAAGGGTTTGGAAAATACATTACGTGCCATGACTTATAGTAGCCGTAAGATCACTTAAAATATTTCGGTTATTTCCCTAATTCAATGTCCGGAATATTTTCCTGTCCCGGAAGTGTAATGCCCCGTGTTCCCCAGCAGATGGCGGCTTGGAGGCACACAGGCCTTTTCCAAGGGGTAGACAGAGCCCGAGTCACAGCGTCTGCGTCCGACCCACGTGTTCTGCGGTGAGAATCCAGACCCGAAATGCAGCGACAGTGGCCGAGGGGCCGCCTGGACCCTGACGGGAGCACGACGAACAAAACCCCCGGGCCTGTGGGATGCGGCGTGGCGCAGCCGCTGTGGACGGCAGACGGGTAGTTCCTCGTCAGGTCGTGCACCGAGCGGCCGTCAGAGCCAGCAATTCTACCCCTGGGAGGCGGGAAGACAAGCGTCCACACGATTCTGTGTGTGATGTCCAGGGCGGCACCTGGACAGGAAAACAGGCGAAACGGCCAACATGTTCACCAACAGATGACGGACAAGCAAAATGCGGTGTATCCGCGCAGTGGAGTGTTACCCAGCCTGAGAAGCGGTGTAGCCGAACGACACCGAATTACCTAACACTGCTCAACTGTACTCGTAAAAATGGCTGATGTGGTGATTTTATGTCTATTTTACAATACAAAATATTTTTTCATAGAGCAATGATTTCCTAACGTGTGTCGGTTAACAGGGTACCTGGCGGCTCAATCAGTTAAGTGTCTGACTTCGGTTCAGGTCATGATCTTGCAGTTTGTGAGTTCACGCCCTGCGTCGGGCTCTGTGCTGACAGCTCGGAACCTGGAGCCTGTTTCAGAGTCTGTGACTCCCTCTCTCTCTGCCCCTCCCCTGCTCATGCTCTGTCTGTCTGTCTCTCTCTCAAAAATAAATAAACATTAAAAAAACTTTTTAAAAAGTGTGTTTAAAAAAACCCAGTAATCCTAAACATAGTTGACAGTCAGCAGGACAACAGGAAAGATCACAACTGAAGGATGATGTTCCGGATATTCTCAAAGTAGAGAAGAGGAAACATGGAAGAAAATGACAAATTCAACTAGAGCCAAGCTACTGAAACCAGAGCATTTGATGTCCACAAGGTGTTCTTAGAACACAGACTTGCAAATACAAAGCAAGTTAAACTTTATAAAAATAAATAACAACTTCAACCTGCAGTTTATTTAACAAAATGTCCATTTTCAATTTTTACCAGAAGCAGAAAAACAGGATCACCATGTAGTAATCGGAGACAAGCAATTTCGGATAAGTGAAAATTTTCCATTTTATCACAATTTTTCATTTAGAGTCTCAGATCACATCTTGCCCCCTGTGTACAACACATGAATAAATAACATGGCGGAGAGGTATTCAAACCTCCCAGGATCTGGGCTGCAAAGAAAATTTAGGGAATTCCATCTTCTTTGTACACAGGAATCACGTCTCTGCCAATTTCACGTTTGCCTTTTAAACCTTCTTGCTAAATGCTAGCTCTTCTCAAATAGATGCACCGATTTTATTCACTGTTTCTCAGGAAGGATATGTGCAATCCAGTAGTTAAAGAAGGTCAGGAGCACTCTGGCATGGTCTGCAAAGCAAACACAAAACAAAACCAAAAATAAAATCGAACAAGAAAGCCCCAAAATAAAAATTATAACATCATTTTGTAGACATTAGTCTTTAGGCTCAAAGTAAAACCTGCAATAGGCCTAATAAAAGCACAATTCTGGCTTAAAAACGGTGCTGAGAGTGACATGTGACACCATGAGTCCTACAGAGCATGGAACGTTCTGGACGTCTGTGCTTCACGTGGGTGAGAGCCCCATTGGTCTACCAGCTGTTGGACCTTCAGAACATCCGGGTACAGTGTCGCGTCAGCCACCTGGACCTTCAGAACACCCGGGTACGGGATGACATTGATCACTTGGGCTCAAGGAAGAGCACAGGCAAACTGAAACCCAGTGTAGACAGCCGTGTGTGTCACAGGTGAGGGGCTGCTAGCAAGTCAGAAGCAGGATCCTAAGTGAGGACGCGGGGACGCGGGCACCACAGGTGCTGAGACGCAGGAGCGGCCCGCGTGCGCCTGGGCGCCCACAGCCTGCCTCTGGCTCCACGGGCCCTCCCCTGCCTCACAGCCGGTCCATCTTCCAGCGCAGACCCTCCCAAGTGCCAGGCCTCCAGTCGCTCTGACACGTCGTCACAGGCTGCCACCACGCACAGCGGCCTCCCTGACTCAAGCCACCTGCGGGCCAGGTCGGATGCAGCCAGGGTCCCTGGGGGGCCCATCCGCTCTGAGCAAAGAGAGGCACCCGGCCAAGGCCACTCCGAAGGCGCCCTCCGGCCGGGCCAGCAGCCTGACCCCTGAAACCTGGTCTCCTCGGTGAGAACACTGGCCCCCAGTCCCCTGCGAGGCGTCCAGCAGGGCTGCGTGGCAGACAGACACGCACTAGTGGCAGCCGATACTGGTGGTAACGTGTGCACGCGTACATGGTGCATACAGTGTAAACACACACGCTGAGCTTGAGAGCAGACTGTCCAGGGTCCGGGCACGTGAGACAGCCGAGCATAAGCAACAGTGCTGACTGAGCCGGCGGCAAGGGCCCTGTGCCCGCTGCCGGGACGCTGCCCCCACGCCCAGCCCACGGACCACGCACCTGCTCTGCAAGCCTCCCACACCACTTCCACGGAAAGGTCTGGGACGGACATGCCAACGTTTGAAAATAAACCTTCACCGTTTATAACTTCTTTTTTTATTTTAACAAAATAGCTTGAAATAGAAACATTTTAAATGCAGGGACACCGCAGTGGCTCAGGTCATAGTCTCACAGTTTGTGAGTTCGAGCCCCACATCGGGCTCTGTGCTGACAGTGAGGTGCCTGCTTGGCACTTTCTCTCTCCCTGTCTCTCTGCCTCTCCCCTGCTCACTCTCTTTCTTAAAACAATCAATAATAAATAAAAAACTTAAAAAAATTTTTTAAGAGTATATCCTTCAGACACAAAAGGGAATCCATTTTTTTTTTTTACAAATAGTTTATTGTCAAATTAGTTTCCACATAACACCCAGTGCTCATCCCCACAAGTGCCCCCCTCCATGCCCATCTCCCCTCCCCGCTACATCCATCAGTCCTCAGTGTGTTCTCAGCATTCAAGAGTCTCTCATGGTTTGCCTCTCTCCCTCTCCCCCCCCATTTCCCCCGTTCTTCTCCCCCTTGTTCCTCCGTCAAGTTCCTCCTAATCCTCCTATACGTGCAAACATATGATATCTGTCCTTCTCTGCCTGACTTATCTCGCTCAGCATAACACCCTCAAGGTCCATCCACGTTGCTACACAGGCCAGATTTCATTGTTTCTCATTGCCATGTAGTATTCCATCGTATAGATAAACCACATCTTCTTGATCCATTCATCTGTTGATGGACACTTAGGCTCTTTCCATGTTTTAGCTATTGTGGAGAGTGCTGCTATGAACATTGGGGTACACATGCTCCTATGCCTCAGCACTCCTGTATCCCTTGGGTAAATTCCTAGCAGTGCTATTGCCGGGTCACAGGGGAGTTCTATTGTTAGTTTCCTGAGGAACCTCCACACTGTTTTCCAGAGGGGCTGTACCAGTTTACATTCCCACCAACAGTGTAGGAGGGCGCCCGTTTCTCCACATCCTCGCCAGCATCTAGAGTTCTCTGACTTGCTCATTTTAGCCACTCTGACTGGCGTGAGGTGGTATCTCAGTGTGGTTATGATTTGTATTTCCCTGATGAGGAGGGATGCTGAGCATCGTTTCATGTGTCTGTTGGCCATCTGGATGTCCTCTTTGGAGAAGTGTCTGTTCATATCTTCTGCCCATTTATTCACTGGGTTGTTTGTTTTTCGGGTGTGGAGTTTGGTGAGCTCCTTATAGATTCTGGATATTAACCCTTTATCTGATATATCATTTGCAACTATCTTTTCCCATTCCGTTGGTTGCCTATTCGTTTTGTGGGTTGTTTCCTTGGCTGTGCAGAAGCTTTTAATCTTGATGAGGTCCCAATCATTTATTTTTGCTCTTGATTAAAGGAAATCCATTTTTAAGAAAAGTGCTTCAGATGTAAGTTTTAGTTCTACTGATCACTGAAAGAAAATGCACTCCTAGAGAAAACGTGTCCGATGGGTTTGGTATAAGAAACCAAGAGATGTCTTTCAGCTAAATCCCCAATTACTGCCGAAAACCCTTCTGACACATTTCAGAGCAATGAATAGGAAAGGCCTCTGTGAGAGAAACACAACAAAAATTTAAAAAAAAAAAAACATTTTTAAATGTAGCTTATATTATTTTTTTATTTTAGAGAGAGAAAGAGAGAGCGTGCCCTGGAGTGGGGGAGGGGCAGAGAAAGAGCACGAATCCCAAGCAGGCTGGAGCCTGACTTGGCGGTTGACCCCACGACCCTGGGATCATGACCTGAGCTGAAATCAAGAGTCAGATGCTCAACCAACTGAGCCACCCAGGTGCCCCCAAAATTTAAAAATTTTTATGTGACTTATTTTTAATCTCATCAAAACTTTGTATTTGTTTAGCTTAATAAAACTGGCTTTTCACAATTTGAGAAAAAAACTGCTTTATGGAAATTTAAACTCGTTAAACGCTCAGTCTAACAATGAGGGTGGGCGCTGGGCTGCCTTCTCTGCGGAAGCTATGGCGCCCCGTGCCCCCAGGCCCGGCTCCTCAGCAGAAGGGCCCTGGGGTCTGCGGCTCGAAACCCCTCCCTCCAGGCCCCCTCCCGCCTCCCCCTGCAGCGGCCCCCGCGGGGTCTCCAGCCTCCACCCTCCTGCTCTGCGAGGGGCCCCACCCAAGTCCCCAGCCTGGGTGTCCGGCCAGCACGTGCCCCTGCCTCCCCCCAAGCGTCACAGCTCACGCCCGGTCACCAGGCTCCTCCAGGGACGCAGGCCCCACGTCCGGTTGGCCGGCGATGCCGTGGGCTCTCACTGCACAGCCGACCCGAACCCACCACCCGTCCGACGGCCTCTTTCAGCCAGAGAACGAGCAAAGCCCCGGCCTCCTGCCCCTGATGCTTCACTCCGGACTCAACCTGACAGCTGGGGTCTTGCTCATGCCTTGGCTCCACTCTGCAGTGGGGCCGACACCACCGCCAGGAGGCCCTCCATCCTGCCTGTCCACACCCAGCACCCGACACACTCCATCCCCGCACATTCGTCCCCGGCCGCAAGAAGGTCCCTCCTTCTCTGCCGGCTGCTGCCCACCGCGTACACGGCGTGTCCACGTCCTCACCTCGGCTTCGGCCCCCCGTGGGGACATGGAGCCCAAGGGTGGGCTTTCGTCCAGGCGGGTGTCTGAGTGCAGACAGGAGCGAAGAGGAGCTCCAGCAGCCAGCTCCTCCTGGACCCGGCTCGGTGACGGAGCTCCTGGACGCGACGATGAGCTCGCGGTCCCCACCACTCCCCCGACCGCAGCGGCGCCTCCCTGCCTCGGGCGCTGTCCTTTCCCCTGATGGGACGTCTGGGCTCTGGGGCTGCGGCCGAGCGCCTGGGTGGGACCGGCATTACGGCTACTTCGACGATCCCTCAGAGAAGTCGGCAGGGCCCCTTGCCTTCATTCCACGCAACACGTGTCCCCAGCGCCTGTTCGGGGTGTGCGGGGTGGGGGGGAGGGGTGCGTTCCGGAAAGCACCCCGATTGTCTGAGGTTCAGGGTCTGCACGCGCGTGTGGCCTAGCGTCTCCACGCAGCCCATTTCCAGCTACTAACAAGAAGTCACCTGACAGCTGCTGTGGAGTGGGCACCCGAGGTCGCGTGAGTGCACAGGAGAAACCCCCCGATCCACCTTTCTTCAAGGTGCTCAGGGGGCAGGAAAATTTACCTTCTGGAAATGAGGGGGGGGGGGGGCCAGGAAGAAAGGAAGGGGCAGTTTTATCTGACGGTATACGGGCCCAGGAAACACCGGTTCACAGCTCACCGATCTGGAAAATCAGACTGTACAGGCTTTTCTGCATCTGTCATGCCAATTATTAGTATTAGTTTTTAAATTTATTGATTTATTTTTGAGTGAGGGAGGGGCAGAGAGAGACAGTGTGAGAGGGAGGGGCAGAGAGAGACAGAGGCCAAGCAGGCTCTGCCCTGTCAGCACAGAGCCCAGCGCGGGGCTCGAACTCCGGAACGGTGAGACCATGACCTGAGCCGAAGCCAAGAGTCGCGGCTGAGCCGACTGCGCCCCCAGGCGCCCCCGACGTGTGCATGAGTTTTACAGCCAGCAGGGACACGAGAAGCACGCTCCTCTGTTCTCCCAGCGGCTCGTGCGGCCCCCTAGTTTCTGAGTCTTCACTGCCCTGGGGGAGCGTGGGTCTGTGGACGCGAGTGTGGGCGCCGGCGCGGCGGCTGCGTGCTCAGTACCTACCCGGCGGCAGCGTGCAGCGCTCCGGGAACGTTTCGAGGGCTTGCTTCAGTCCTTCTGTGTCTTGCAGGAGTAAGAGCCGTTTCATGTGATCCAGCAGGAGCGCATCTGAGGGGGCCAGGCCGCGACTGTCGAGATGCTGGAAAAGCCCCTGGGCGGCTTGCCGGAGGAGCGCCGAGCCCGGGTCCCTGCAGAGACCTAAACAGAGCCAGGACCGCTTAGAAACACGTCTTACGTTTATTCTTGCGGACGGAAGGCAAGCTCTCGCCTCCTACGAAAGCTCCCAGCGTAACGCGGTTCTACTTAGAGCGAGCCGCCGGGGATGCGCTGGGCGGGAGCCAGCATCAGAGCAGAGCACTGACCCGTAAGCGAGCCACTCGCTGAAGGGCAGAGGGGGCCGGCGTCCCCGCGCACGGATCTCCCGCAACACCTGCCAGACACGCAGCTGGGCCACGGGGACACGGCCGAGCTCTGCAACGTGGCCGAGGGCCCGAGGGCAAAGGCCCCCCATGTGTCAGACCCCACCGCCCCTGGGGGTCCTTTCTCGCTGTCACTGATTTTCACAGTCTGAGCGCACCGTGCTTTGGGCGTGCTGTCTCCACCTGAATCCTGCTTCAATTCACACAGCTTTGAGTCGACGACTCGACACACGTTGAAGGGCTCTTGACGGTCACACCTGGACACGAGCCCCGTGCCCTGGCCTGGACTCCAACCACACTGTCCCTTGTCCTGGGTACAGCGCCTGTGCGCTCCTGCCCGCCTCCCCCCTTCCGGACGCCCCCCGGCCCGCTTCCACCACTACTTCTCTCGTGCTGAACCCAAGCTGCTGTTTACACCCAGCGCGAAGTTCTTGACTTCAGTTATTCTGTTCCTCGGAATTTCCATGTGCTTATCCTAACAGACTGAGATTATCTGGTGAAATTCTCTAATTCCTCACTGTTTTTCTCCATCTCCCCCTATTTTTGTGAGCACCTTAATCAAGCCCTTTGTATTCCCTGCTGGTAACATCAATGTCCTCCACAGCTGTGGACGCGCCCCGCTTGCCTCTCTCGTGTTCTGGCCTGGGCTCCCGTCCCCTGCCTTGCCCGCCGCTGCCCCAAGCCTGTGGCCCTGGCGCTCCAGCGGCCAGCCCCGGTCACTCTCGTCAGCACCTCAAAACTGCCAAGATGTCTTTGCTCCTCGCCCCCCTCGGCGTGGAGTCTGGAAGATTCTGAGACCAACAGAGCTCGTGGTCCTCCTCCTCCCCTTTCTCAGCAGACCCTACGTGCAGACCCGGCAGACTGCCTGGAGGAAAGGGTGGCTGCGGAATGCTGCCTCGGCCCTCGCGTGCTGCCATGTCCTCTAGGACCTGTCCCCTGAGGTGCTTGTCCCCAGAACCTCGCGCACGCCCTGTGCCGGCCGCCCGCCCGCCACACGCTGTCCTGCACACGGGACCGCCCCAGGCGGACAGCTTCACAGCCTCCTGCCCCGCGCCAGTCCCGTCGTCCCGTGAGCGTCACTTGGACGTTTGTGAAGCATGTGTTCAGCCTGTGAACACAAAGTGCTGACAGACGTGCTCACGTGGACACGGTTACGCGGGTCTGGGGACGACGGCCCTTCCGCGCTGTGTCAGTCAGTCCCTGGCCTCCCACAGCAGCGCACGGCCAGTCTCTCTCCACCTCGCGGGCGGCGACGGGGTGCGCCATCCACGCCCGGGCCGGCTCAGGCTGGGAACGGTCCATTCCGAGGGCTCTGTCCCGGGTGTGCACGCGGCGGCTCTGCGTCCGCACCTGCCCCTTCCCGGTCCCGGGGTCGGTAAACCCCAAGGCTCCTGCCAAGGAATCGCCTCCCGCGAGGATAAAGCTGCTCTGGTCCTTCCTCCCCTAGATCAACAGGTCGCTGCTCAGAGCCGCTCGCCGAGAACCCCAAATCAGCGAGTCACGCGCGGGGCGCGAAACCACGCGGCCCCCGAGGAGACGGCCTCCCGCTGCCTCCCTGCCGGCCGAGGCCCGCACGCCGGACTCCCCTTCTCTTCGGAAGCAGCGCCGAGGGCGCCCCCCGCCCTGCAGCCGGCCGTTCGAGGACTCGGGACGGCGCGGCCTCGGCCCTGCTGGGGGCTGTGCCCTTCGCCCCGCGCGGACGAGGCCGCGCTCCAGCTCTGGGGAGGGAACTTAAATGTTCTCATTTTTGCCTCAAAACTCATGATTTATTTTGACTACTGAATATCTTAATAAGTCTTGTATTTTAAACATTGAAATTTTGTACTGTATTTGTTTGCTTTTCCCACTAAGTGGATGCCATTATTCAAAAGAACAGTAAAAAACATACCGTCATAAAAGTAAATTTCTTGCGTTGATTTTAGAAAACTTAGGATCCCAGCTGCCTTTTCATTGGTACTTGTAACATCTTCCTCACTGTTGTCTTCACGGTTTTCCTCACCGCTGTCCTCCGCGCGGGCGGCCGCGCCACGCTCCCGAACGGCGTCCACACAGTCTTCCGCGCGGGCGGCCGCGCCACGCTCCCGCACGGCGTCCACGCAGCCCTCCCCATCACTTTCGTGCTCGGTGTCCTGCTCGCCGCCGCTCTGCTCAGGCTGGTACAGGAAGCTGACGCCAGAAGCCTTTGTGAGCAAGCCGGCTGCTTTCTTCCTTTTAATTTGCTGTTTCTTTTTCAGTTTCCTTTTTTTATTTTTGCTGATTGTGGGACCATCTGTGCGCTGTGGTTGCAATTTTTCTTGCAAAAGACTCTGCTGTTTCTCTAATTCTTCTTGTTCTCCATGAATATTAGTGGGATTTTTAAAATTTTTCTTTGATTTATGCTTCCTAGCTCTTCTTCTCTTTGGTTGATTGTGAGGATCCTGATCTACAAAAACAAAGATTCAAATGCAACCACTTTCTGTACAATGGAAGAGTAACAAACAGATTAGCATAAATAAGTTTTCCCTTAGAATCTTGCAAATTCAGTAGAAAAAAATTTAAAATATTTACTTCAGTGATTCCCACCTTTATCTCAACTAATTACGTGATCAAGGAACCTGGGACTTACCGTTAAATAAATGAACAGCTGAGTGCCCTTCTAGAAGGGTCCTATATAGATGCAGACACACACTCACTGACCGTTGCTACGATTATGACAAATGGTGAGGTTGGGAGTAAAGTTTCAGTATTGTGGCCTTGGGGCAAAAACATTAATTCTTTTTACTATTTTTTAAGTTTACTTTGGTGCCTTCTAAGAGTTCACCGGACGTGAGAATAAACAATAGATAATGGCACTTGCCCATGGGAATCAGCAAGTTTGGGCCCTTGGTCTGCAGCAATGGGCTGGCGGTGAGGAGAGCGCTAACAACTGGGTCTCTGTCTGGAAGCGCCCCGATGGCGGACACGGCCACTGAGCAGAAATCGTGACCCTGGAAATCCTGGATACGTGGAGCCCACAAGTGCACACCGACCGCGTCGCGGCCAGCCAAGGACCCTGCAAACCTTGCCTCAGCAGACCCGCTGGCCAGAGAGTCTCATTTTCAGCAAGTTCTCGTCAGATCTGTCCGAGCAGCACCGCACCGCCCACAACAGATTACGGTGGGAAGTGACACTGCGTGTGAAGCTGGCGAGACACCGGGCACAAGAGCCAACTTTACTGTGCTGAAGTCTGCTGTAACCATAGCACGATTAGTATACTGAATACAAATCTCTTTCTCCACTTTCTACTCAGGGCTTCCTTTCTGCCCTCTGAACTTGGGCAGAAAATGTCTAATTCGTGCTGCATGTGGTGATGCCTCAGGTGGCTTTCCAACGTGACCCAGCGCGGGGCTCCAGGCAGCCCTCTGACGACACGAGGGATACGAACCGGCAGGTGGTGGCACCGTGGGCACCTCAACAGTACAGCCACTCCCTGTGGCGCTCCGGACACTGGGGTCCACTGCACAGCCTGCAACCCGCTTCTCGGCCGGGCGGCCGCAGAGCGCTGCTCCCTGAAAGCGTCTGCTCAGGTGAGCGTGAGCCCCCTCTCTCTCAGGCGACACAGATGCCCCGCCCTGCCAGCTTTGTGCCATTGTGAAATTGGATGCCGTGTTCTGGAGATGGGAGAAAACAATGCTAAATTCTGAATGACAGTTTCTCTTCTTTCTCTTGAGATACACGATGGCCACACCTGCTAAATCCAGTGTGACTTTGAGCTTGGCATGGAGCCAAAGTCACTCCCTGTGAAATCATGACACAAGACGGCTGTCCAGTCCCGTGATCAGTGTGTGTTTTCTCTCCTCTATCACCAAGGAGTAACCGAACACGGTATTTTTCTATTCTGTTTGATGTAAACGCTGCTTATGGAATTCCTTGTTTGTTGTTGTTTTGGTTTTTTTTTTCTTATTTTTATTTCCCAGGTCCAGTTGAATGAAGTAACTAATTAACTAACTAACATTCTCCTCACAGTTGTTTATTCAAAATATGCATGCTTGCCCTTCATTAAATCTGGAGAAAAGTAACCCATTCTGTGTTTTATCATCTTATGGTCTCGAAGGAGCGCTGCCTGGGGGGGCCGCAGGGCAGGGCATTAGGGGCACCCTCACCGTCCGCTGTGCTGCGCCCAGAGCTTGTCACTGATTCCCTCGGGTCTTGGTGAAGCCACATGTGTACCTGGTGGCTTAGTTCTCATTCTGGGTGCTGAGCACATGCGTGCCCGTGGTCCCGTGTTAACAGTATGAAACAGGAACGAAGAAGCTGTGAAATGATCAGTACATCACACTTTACACACACACAGGTGTGTAATGTGTGCACACACTTTTAAAAAGGAAAACAAGGCACATCACAATACTGTGAGTCTACACCCAGCACGTGAACGGTGCTACCTAGGGAGGTGCGAGCATGGGCTGGTTTTTCCTGCCGTACTTTCCCGATTTCCAACTTTAGGGCAACGAGTAGATACTGTTTTTGTCACACACACAAAAAAAATAACTCATTTTAAATTTGATGAGATTATAACATTTCAAGATATATAGGATGCCAGTAAATTCTACTTAAATGGGAATTTATAGTCTTGAGTGTATCAGGAAAGAAGAGAGCTATAAACCGATGATGTAAACACCTGAAGAAGCTAGAAAAACAGCAAATTAAACACCACGAATGTAGAAGAAACACCCAGATGAGCAGAAGATAGAGAGCACAACGCACAGCCCAGCTGGCAAGTCTGGGTGAGAAGGGCAGGGAGGGGTCAGTGAGGGTGTACCTGCACCGCTAACGAGCGAATGAGGCTATGCAACTAACAACTTTATGAAATGGAGAATCCTCAGAAAAGCATAATTTACCAACATGGACACGTGAAGAAACAGAATTTTCTCTCTCTGTTTAAAAAATCTAACTTTAGTTAAACATAGTCCCACAAAAGCACTTCAGGTCTAGGTGGGTTCACCTAGTAAGCACATAAGGAGAAAAGGGACCCCCAGTGTACACAGACGTTTCCAGAGCACAGGCAGTGACACTGTCCTCACTCCAGACCCTGACGGGGACCTTCGGACAGAGGCGGGTGTGGGCGGTCCCTCCCATAACCCTGCACAAAGCATTACTAACAGACTCCAGGGATACGCCGTTAACAGGGCGCCTGGACGGCTCAGTAGGTTAAGCGTCCGACTTTGGCTCAGGTCATGATCTTGTGGTTCACGGGTTCAAGCCCCGCGTCGGGCTCTGTGCTGACAGCTCGGAGCCTGGAGCTGCTTCAGATTCTGTGTCTCCTTCTCTCTCTGTGTCTCTGTGTCTTCGTCTCAGGACCCTTGCACTGCCCCAAACACAGCGACGGCACAACACGGACTCGCACGTGGGACCCGTGAGTGGTTCCCACGCACCGTGACCTGGGCTTCGGGGAGGACGGATGGAGGTGGGAGGAAGGGCCGAGGGGAGGAAGGCGCAGAAGGAAAAGAGGTCTGATGACCCCAAGCCCTGTTTTGTTTTCATTCTGTTCCAGGTCTGCTGAGGCACAACCGACAAACGACAATCGCATCATGGAAGGCGCGCCACGTCCAGAGTCGATGCGCGCACGCGGCACGTGCAGGCCTGCCCTGGCGCGGGGCACTGGGCACACCGCCCCCACGTCTCGCCCCGCCTGTCCCCCCCCCGCGCCGGCGCACCACCCCACCCCCACGGCGGACCCCGGGTCCGGCCGCGCCTCAGGCCAGCGGCAGTACCAGCACCTGGAGGGGGGTGACCAGGAGTCCAGGGTCCCAACCGGACAGCAAGGCAGGTGAACGCTGAGCACGTGGAGGATAAAGGGTAGGAGCCTCTGCTGCCAGCGCATCTGGAGGACGGGGTGCAGCACCCCCCCCGGGGCCCAGGAGCAGTGTAGACGGAGGCGGGAGGACCGAGGACTGAACCCTCATTTGCAGGGCCTTGTGCGCTGCGCATGGGGCCACCATCAGCCACGTCCCCGTGGCCGCCCTGCTCTGTGAGGCAGGGCCGGCCCCTCTCCCCGCCTCCGTGTACGCTGGCCAGCTCGGTCCAAGGGTCCCTCCAGACCCCGCGGGAACAGGGCCACCGCCCCCCAGTCCGGACGGCAGCCGTCCCACAGCAGGGAGGGTGCGCCACGGACGGCCTCGCACTGACCTTGTCCCTGCTGGTGAGTGCCCCCCGGGCTCAGGCCGCTGGAGGAGCCGCCCCACGAGGGGCTCGGTGGAGGGACCGAGTGCAAGGACGCTTTCCCATTTCCTTTAAACGTCCTTGTCCTTCAAAACGGTATTTTACAATGGAAAATACCATAAACGCTCATCTTCTGTGACGTGGCCCATCTCGACTTTCCATTTCACAAGAAAATCTGAGGTGCAGCTCCTTCAAGTGACTTTCTCCAAACGTGCTGCTCTATTGATTCTAGAACGTTCTGTCTTCATGGGCCCACTACACACCTACAATCTTGCCTTCTTCAAATCCTCACCCACAATAAAAGCTATAGGAACATTTATATTAGGGAACCAGCGGCTTGACTATTTATAAGCTGAGAAGCACACTAATTTTGAAAATCTGCCATCCCCAAAACATACCTTTCAGACATGCTAATTTTAAAAATAATCACAATTTGTCAGAATTCTCACAGCTACTATTTGGTACCAACATCCTGATGAACTGCTGTAGTAGAAATAGTTAGATACTAAAAATAGCCATAGTCTCCAGATTATTCCAATTCTCACAGCTGTACCATGTTGCATTAAAAAGGGCTAAGTATTGTAAAGGAGATGTGAGTTTTATTCTAGACTCAAAGCTAAGGCTACAAATGCATGTGATAATTACCTTCAGCGATCAGCGTCCTGTGGGTAAGTACAAAGCAGTGAGCTTGCAGTTAGTGCTGAGCGACACCATTTACATCAATGTCATTGTGAAGACATAAAGGTATGAGGGGCTTCTCGTCTCTTTCATATCGTCTGTATGCCTAAAACTCAGGACGGTACTGTTCCCTGTAAATCTAAAACATGGATTCTCTCTCTCTTTTCTATTGGTTCTGGATATCCAGAGCAGAAACTTCCAAAGACAGCGGGGGGAGAGGGGGAGGGGAAGCAGCTGTGACGGGGGAACAGGGTGGAATTCTGCCCGAGCTCTGATTTGGCTCCAATGTATAATGTAGCTCGTAATTCCAAATAAAATCAAAAGAATGCACGGGGCCTGCATGTCACAGAAAGGGCGGCTGGCTTACAACATCACAATCTAGATAATAAATGTTTCATGACTGTAAGTCTGGAAGCCTGACGGCCATCTGATGAACTTCGCTCTGATAAGCAACGATATTCTTCTCTGTTGCCACATTAAGTATCTACCTCACAAGAACATAATAAATAATCTTCAGCCTCATTACTTCTGCGTTCTTTCCTGAAACAGGTTTTGACAATGGAATGATCTCCAAATTTCCTAGGTTAGTTGTGAGTAGGCTTAAATTCTAAGTTTTCTGGAAAATGAAACTTTACTTTTCACGTCCACATATCTGGGTCTTGAAAACTGAGAAATAGCTGTACTGGTCTTACTCAGACACCGTCTACAGAGCAGGAAGGCCACACAGAGAGCGGGCAGCACACGGTCGGTACTTGGGTCGACACGAGCACATTCTTGGCCCCACAGCAAACACATGCGTGGCTGGGTCAGACCTAAGCGCAGATGTACCCCAGGGCCAGAGCACACCTGCGATGGAGCCGCTGAGGGGCTCCCCAGGGCGCTGGGGGCCGCCTGGACAAGGGCTCCCCGCCAGCTCCCCGGGCGGCTGAGGACTCTGGCTCTGACACCACACGGGACGTGCTACGGCTCCCCCGCGCCCTGGGCCGAAGCTCCGTCCTAGTGAGGGAGCCCGGAACGTGCGGGCAGCAAGCCCAGCGGCCACACGCAGGTGCAAAGGCCAGACGGTCACCCCTCTTGCCCTCAGGTCTTCCCTAAGTTACTACGTAGTCGACTTGCTGGTGCTGGGAATTCACAGTGCGAGTCGATGGTCTAAAGCGCTTCCTTGAAAAGCAGTAATGATTTGACTTTTTCTTCTTTTTCCAATCTCAGCTCTCATGTTCTCTTTGCTAAAAATCACAAATGAGAAGATCCAGGGCTCCTCCAGCTTCCAGGTTTGCACACGTCTGCCTGGCGTGTCCTCTGGCCCCACGGGGGGGGGGGGGGCGGGGGGGGCATGTGTGGCTATGCAGCCGCGTGGGCCCCAGGCCGTGGCGAGATCCTGCCCGCACGGCCCCGGCGCAGCACCGCTGGTGGGAGGCCTCGGTGAGCGGTGGGGGCTAACACCTTCTCCAACCTCATCGCCTCCAGTGCCCTGCGATGGCCCACTTCCTGGGCTGACAACGAATGGGGAGAAAATATTTGGGAAGCATATTAAGCAAAGTAGATGGAAACATTTAGCCGCCGGTTACAAGTGTTCAATAGTGACAGATGCGGACTTCCCCGCCTGGATCTGTATTCAGTGCTCTTCTGGAGAAGTGGCTGTAGGAGCCTGAACTCACAGGGCCTCTAGAAAGAGCCATCTCTTAAAGCCAAGCCGTGGTTCCTGTGGAGGTGAGCGGAGCCGGTGAGGAGCCGCAGACCCGAGTGGCAGCCAGCCGGTCGCACAGCGTCAGGGCCCAAGTCACCGGGAGCCCAGACGAAGGTGAGGGCGAGTCAGCGTGGACACAGCAACGTGGACAGGACTGATCTCAGGGACGGACCCGTCTGCTCTCTCCTAGGTGGGTGGTGGGCTGGGCGCCCCTTGCGAGTACCATCCCCCATATCATCACCCCCTTCCCAGAGAAAGGAAGACTCGTGGAAGGTTCTCTCCACCCTGGCCATGCCTAAAACAGGTAACAGAGGAAAAGACAAACTAACAGATTTTGCCTAACAAACACCTCACAGAGACGCTACACAACTTACTATTGAACTGTCAGGTCCCCATGGAGCTTAAAGGGAATGAGTCCCAGGTCCTCAGTCCCCTGGTCTTTCCTCCTTTGCTCTCCTCAGCGCACGGCTGTCAGGGAGGCGCCATGGGCTGGCCGCCCTCCTGGAGAGCATCTGTCCCCCTCGTACAAACATCCTCGCCTCCCAGGAAGGTGTCCCTCCAGCTCGGAGCTCACCGGTCACAGGAGACTCAAGCCTCTGGCGCTGGGGTCCCTCCCACGGCCCGGCCCACGCTGGCCTCTCGGCAGGGCTGACCGGGCGTGGCTGCGGGCGAAGCAGACACAGCGCACAGCGCAGCGGCGCGGGAGTGAGTCCAACCCAGTTCTCACTGAATAGACTGAGCACGCGGTGAAGTATGCTCCCCGAAGGAACTCATCTTCAGAAGAACATGGTTAAATTTCCTAATGAAATAATCTCTTTATCTACTAATCACATTCCAAAGATTTTCAACAGGTTTGAAAAGATGGATAGATTATTCCTCACCTACCCCAGTTTTGGTTTTATGGTTTCTGGTCCTTCAGTTAGAAACTTGGAAAGATCAATGTACAAAGAAACCCATTCTGTTGATATTTATAGTGTAGAGTTTCTGAGTTTACACTGGCTGAAACTCGTCTGGGTTAACAGCAGCACATGCACAAAACAGTCATTCAATTCTTCCACAAAAGTGAAGCGAAGTAGGTTATTTCCATGATAACAAAACTGATATATTATCCTAGAAATGCTGAAAAAAATGGAAAATCAAGAAAAAAGTTCTACTTAAACCAAAACAAGCACCATCAACATGTGACACATTTAACAGCAGCACAGGTGATTACAGCCACGGTCGGGGCCCAGCTGAACCTCCTCCGGCCTCAAGTCTGTTTTCCTGTCACGATGAGTTCGGTGACATCACCTTTAGTGACTGCAGGACACAAACCAGCCCCTGGGTAGCCGTCCAGCGACCCACTCGCCAGCCCTGTCACAATAAATCTGGGTGGAGTTAACCTGCAGAACCATGCCTCACCTGAGAGGTGGCACTCTCCTCCTGGGTCATCGCTGCCTGAGCTGTCGTCGGAGGCCGGGCTGGCCTGCGGCTCTGGGGGAGCTGGGGCGTAGCCCTCAGGAGGCAAACTCACAGTGTAGAGCCGCCTCTGAGGAAAGACTTCGGGGTCTCCACCTGCGGGGGACAAGGGGACTGTGAACAGGGCATTCTGTGGCGGGACCCTCGGTGGCCCTGGCCCTTCCCCAACCACATCCACTGCAGACATGAAACCCAACAGCTCACGAAGCCCAGCCATGGCCGTCACGGATCTCGGGGCACCAAGCACTTCGCCGGGGCAGCGGGGCAGCCCCAGGTCCAGCCCGGGATCCATGATTCACTAACCTCTGGGTTTTTATAAGGATATGAAAGTATAATTCATGAGCAGGAAGCAGAAAAAAGAATATTCTACATAGCATACCTTCCACTGATATAACATGAATCTCTTGACATTTTGGTACACTACCTGGAACTTCTCCAAGTGTGCAAACAACCCGCATACACTGTGTATACACACACACCTTAATGGGATCCCGCTACACGCATTTTATTATTATACATATGTATATTATGTGTATCATATCATTCAAAAGTTAACAGAACATGACAAAATAATATGTTAAGATATAGTTACACCTATGTGGTCTCCTAATGGCTACATAATATTCCATGTTTCTGGCAAGTGAAAATGTAACTATAATTCAAGCATTGTCCTAGACTTCACACATGGAGGTTAACTCTAGATTTTCACTACCACAGACAGCTGCTATGACCATCCTTGTTGTACACACTTTGCACACCTGACCATGGAGTTCTTTCAGACAGAGTCCTGGAGAAGGAACTGCTGGCCCAAAAGGTGAGCACCTTCTGCTGGCTCTTGAGATACATGGTCCAGAATGGCATCCCCACGACCCCGGCTTCCTCCCATGCTCTTTCCAACAGCAGGTGGCATCACGTACAGCTGACACAGCATGCTGCATGCATTCACAGGTACCACGTGTGGACTGGACCTCTGTACGTGGCGCTCCACTCCCGGGACAGCCACGTGTGGACTAGACCTCTGTACGCGGTGTCCCCGTGGTGTCCCGCTCCTGTGAGAGCCACGTGTGGACTGGACCTCTGTACGTGGCGCCCCGCTCCTGGGACAGCCATGTGTGGACTGGACCTCTGCACGTGGCGCCCCACTCTCGGGAGAGCCATGTGCGGATGGATCTCTGTACATGGTGTCCCCATGGTGTCCCGCTCCTGTAAGAGCCACATGTGGACTGGACCTCTGCACACGGTGCCCCACTTCTGTGAGAGCCACATGTGGACTGGACCTCTGCACGCAGTGCCCTGCTCCTGGGAGAGCCACGTGTGGACTGGACCTCTGCACACGGTGCCCCACTCCCGTGAGAGCCACGTGCGACTGGACCTCTGCACGCAGTGCCCCACTCCCATGAGAGCCATATGTGGACTGGACCTCTGTACAGGTGCCCGCTCCCGTGAGAAGCGCAGTTACCATCTGTCAGCACACGGCGGTACAACACTATGGACTCTGCTCCCCGTGCTCCACGTCACCTCCATCACTGGACCACACACAGGTATAAACTCCAAAGGGACTGAAGACCCCCCGCCGTCAGGCCGCCGTGTGTGTGGTGTTTGCCCTGGCGCCCGGGCTGAGCGGGAGGAGGCTCAGAACATATCTGTAGTCCCATGCTGGGCGTGGCTTTGTTTTCTCACGTCCTGTGGTTAATTGTGGACTGATTTTACGTGTCCCCAAGGAGAACGTGGGCCTGGTCCACACCCTGTTCCTGAACGAATCATGCACGGCAGGTCCAGGAGCCCCCGAGCTCAGCCAGGGAGCCGCGCGCCCGCTCACGAGACAGCTCCAGTCCCGCTGCTGGAACCCGCTGAGTGCACGTGTGATGGCCTCCAGGGAGAGTGAGACGAGGCCCGGCCAAGCTCCAGAGTCACCTGTGGCCTCAGATCTTGGCTCAGCTTGCTGAGCAGCCTGTGGTCCGGCCGCGCTGCCTCCTCGGGATCTGAGCCTCGCCCTGGAGGGGCACTGCCTGCGTGTGAGCAGGGACAGGGCGGGGGTAGCGGGGCAGCTGCAGGCAGTTCCGGGACCCGCGTGGCTCAAGTGGAGCCTGTTGGGGGGAGGTCACCAAATGTGCCTGGGTGTCCAGTCTGTTTAGCTCCTTCCTCGGACCTGGAGCGGCTCACACGCAGGTCACTGAGGCCACTGAGCGCCTCCTATGGGGCACTGGACACCGTGACACATGGCAGCCTCATCTCTGCCCAGGAGGGAGCCGGTAACACGGTGCTCATGGCCACGCAGGGAGTCACCACGGAAACAAGCACAGGACATGGGGGCAGCTGGCCGGAGAGAGGCCCCGGCTGGGACTCTGTCTCGTGCCTGAGGAGCAGCACAGACTAGGGAGAAGGAAAATATGGTCAGAGCGGGAGCTCGGGTGTGCGTCCCTCGGCACCTACCGGGTCCCCACCCCTCGGCCTGTCCTTCACGGAGATGCGCCTTCAGGGGTGGCGCACTCGATCCCTGTATCTCCTGACGACAGTCACGGTGGTGCGAGCTGGTTCTGGGTGTCCGACCCAGACCTCAGCACAGAGCCATGACCCCAGCCAGGCTGTGAGAGGGCCAGGTAGCTTCCGTCGTCGACCGAAGGAGACGTTTCTCACCGTGCCACCACTCACACTGCACGCCCCCGGAAAAACTGGTTTGTTTCCTTCCTTCCGTTACACACACAGCAGGTGTGGCCATTAGGTACTCAGATTTCTGACTTTCAGCTCCCACAGAAGTAAGGGGTGTCAGCCCCCTTCCAGTCTCTCGGGGAATGATCGAAACGTGGTGCGACCACGTGGCGTGGGCGGCCCGGAGCCTTCCTAGATCCCTCACGAGTCCTGGAGGGGACGCCCTGTCTTTCCCGCGCTGGCCCTGGCCCTGGGCCTGGGCTCCGGCCTCTCCTTTGTCCCTGTCATTCCAGACACAAAATCTTTCTACACGTTATCCACTCCAAGCACCTCAAGAGCTGAGGAATTAAAAAATAATCTTTTAAGACTTTACATTTTTAGGTTTTAGGTTCAGAGAAAAACTGAGAATGGCACAGAGATCTCCCCACACGCCTCCGCACACACGCACCACCCCTCCCCCCACCAGAAGGTACATCTGTTACAGTCAGAGGTCCCACACGGGCGCACTGTCGGTCCACAGTCCACGTGAGGGTCACTCCTGGTGCCCAGCGTTCGGTGGGTCTGGGCTCCCGGCACCCACGTCCCTGTCCTCAGAACCCTCTGTGCTCCGGCTGGCCACCCCCACCCCGGCGCTGGCAACCACTCGTGTTTTTCCTGTCTGCCTGGCTTTGCCTTTTCTAGAATGTCAGGTAGTTGGAATCCGGCAGTTTGTAGATTTCTCAGACAGACTTCTTTCGCTTAGTGATCTGCACTGAAGGTTCCTCTGTTATCTTTTCACAGCTTGAAGGCCACGGAATATTCCATGTCTGAACGGACCTCGGGGTTTATCCATCACCCACTGAAGGGCATCTTGGTTGCTCCCACACTTTGGAAATTACCAACAAAGCTGCTGCACACATCTGTTGCAGGTTTCGTGTAGACAATCGCTGAGTCAAGTGAGTGGAGTTTTGAGAGCGGATGCGGGGTCGGACGGCGTCCGCACGCTCTTTGTCATCTCGGTACCGCTGCCCCCCCCCGCTTCAGACAGAGTTCTTCCACCTGTTCTGCAGGTCTTGGGGCCACCAACACGTGTCCGTGCGACTCAGGCAGGCCTTCCTCCTAAGGGGTGAGGGAAGTACATCCGTCAAGCACACAATTTCCTCTGGGAAGGGGTCCGATTCAGGATGTGCTGATGGTTGGTACCTGCATGGAGCAGACAAGGGGACGAGCTCTGGGCTTCAGCGTTTACAGCTTTGGGGAGGGCCGGGGCAGCCTCTGCCGTGGACATAATTCTGTACGAACATATGAGAGAGAGTCCCAAGCAGGGTCCACGCCACGCATGGAGCCCAACACGGCGCTCGATCTCACGACCCTGGGATCATGACCTGAGCTGAAATCAAGAGTCGGACGCTCAACCTACTGAGCCACCCGGGTGCCCCAAGGAAGACTTCCTAAGCCAGACACAAACAGCACTAACCACAGACTTAAAGACTGAGAAACCATACCCTATGAACTAAACAACAGAACACATGGCTGTTTTTAAAAATTAGGACAATTCATGGAGAGAAGGTATACAGATGGCCAAGAATTGGGATTTGGAATATGAAAATAACTGAAATCTGTCACATGACAACCAAGAACAACCCAAAAGGAAAATGGACAGACGGTACGGTGTACACACACGCTCAAGCCACTGAACCGTTTGGCCTCGCAGACACTCAGTAAAGTGAAGTGCAGGCTCCTTCCACGCGGTTAGCTGCCCCTGCACAACACGGGTGTGAGCTGCTGGGGCCGCCTGATATGGAGGCTTATTTTGATACATACAGTACATACCGTAAACATATTTTCTCTTCCTTAGAATTTTCTTAATGACGTTTTCTTTTCTCTAGCTGACTCTGTAGTGAGAATACAGTATGTGATATGTATACAAATGCTAGTCGACTGTGTTACGGGTGAGGCTTCTGGTCAACAGTAGGCCACCAGTGGGTAAGTTTCTGGGAGTGAGAAGTTACAGGCACATTTCTGACTGCCGAGGTCGGCGTCCTGATCCCTGGCTCATTCGAGGGTCAGCTGGACGACTGCTGCGTAAGGCCCGGGCAAGCAGGAACTGGCGGGTCACTTGAGTGGGTGCACGTCTGACAGGCAAGTTGGCAGAATGTACAATAAACCTGAAGCTACTTCTCTGGGGACACGTGCTCAGAAAACGTCCATGTGCAAAGAAGAGGGTGATGGTGACCCAGCGTATCTTTACTTCTAGAAAGGCCAGAAGAACTTACATCAGGCCAACCTGATAAACAGGTTCCAGATGCTGATCCCCGAGGAACAGGACAGGCCATGAGCCTGAGGCCACAATGGTCCATGGCGGAGTGAGCTCGAGGATTGGGGGTGGGACCTGGCAGCTGGGGTCCAGGGAGGCCCAGACGCCTGCAGGCCGTAGGCAGTGTCCTCGGGAGAAGCAGGCTGCAGAGAGCAGGCCCAGGGCTCCTGGGGGCCCCTGTGTGTTCTGCTGAGTGTGATGCAGGCACCCCTGTGAGAAGCTGCCAGGTGGGGCCTGGGCTCACAGCGTGGCGCTAAGCAGAGCAACCCCAGGGAAGGGCCAGTCAGAGCTGGGAGGGTGGGCAGGAGCCCAGGAGAGGCGGCCCCCTCTGTCCTCCACACGGGCACCGCTGGATGACAGACAGCAGCTTCCGGGGCCTCGGGGAGCCCACCTTGCCGCCCGGCCACTCACCCAGCCGGCTGAGCTGTGAGAACATGCAATAGCCCCGTGGGGGTCAAACAAAACCCACAGAAAGGGACAAGGCATGGGGCCAGCAGAGCATCTGGGGGCTCTGGGGCAACGTCAGGGGGCCTCGTATGTGAACCTGAAGCCCTCCAAGAAACAGGTACTGATCATTCCCCACGTGATGAAAATCACAACCCCAGAGTCCCAAGAAGCTCAGCAACCCGAAGCAGAGCTGTGGAGGAAGCCACGTGAGGCTCAGAAACAGACTGCTGGAGGCCAGAGGTGGGGGTACGTCCCGAACAGTCACACAACAGCACAGGGCAGCGGCTACCTAGACGGCAATCGCCATCGTATGAAGTTTCACAAACCCCCAAGCCCCCAGGAGAGGCACATACGTAATAACGTGTATACTGTATCACCAAGCATGGGCCTACATGGGGACCGCGGCTTCCAAATTCTAGGAAGACGAGAAGCAAAGGCGACCGGAGGGGCGCTTCAAGACCTCAGTCACGCGGCGGAGCATCCAGGCGTACCGTGTCCTGGTGTGACACACTTAAATACTGCAAGATGATGGCCATGCTGGCAGCCTGACGGCTCATCCCCTCACAGAATTACATCCGCATCTATTCTCAGGAAGTGTCAGGGGCACAAAGCAGAATCGTTAGCTGAGTCATCACGCGGTTTGTCAGCCCCAGAACGTACTCCCCTTACAACTGGAGTTTGGTTCCCCGCGACCAGCGCCTCCCCGCCCCCACCCGGGCCCCCAGCAACCTCGGTCTGTTCTCTGAGAGTTTGAGTTTGGAGCATCCACAGAAACATGAGGTTGCACTGTGCTCGTCTTTCTCTGCCCGCCTCACCTCACTGGGCATAATGCCCTTGAGGTCCGAAATTACATTCCTTACACAACAGCAGGCTTTCCGGAAGTGACAAAGGTTAAGAAGGGCAAGACCTGGGCAGAAGAGGTTCTTCTGTTGTATCATCAAGATTTTATAAGAAAATATTCGCATCCTAATGGAAAACTGCAGTTTTTACCAAAGAGCTTTGTCTATTTTCATGACCACTCCAGGCATTCACAGATGTTTCTCCACATACCGATTTTCATGGACTCCTAAAAGGCCCAGACACAACAGCACGAACCTACCTGACTGACGCCCGGCCACCTGCTCGCCCACATGTCAGCACAGAGGTGCTCTCACCGCTCCGGCACACGTATTCCCTAAAAACAAGTGTTAAGACTGCGTGCCTCCACACGGACACGTTATAGAGCTCGGGAGCCTCCATGTGGAGACGGAGCTGTGTTGGGCTGCAAATGCGGCCTCCCTCCTTCCTGTGCACCGACGGGGGCTCTGCATACCACGGCAAGGTGACGGCCACGAAAATAAGATACGTGGCCAAGCTCTTGGCTCGTTTAGAAATCCTCCATCATCCCTTGGTCCTCAGCAACTCCAGCTCCCCCCAGTTCTGCCCTCACATAACAATTTCATCGCATCAAGCTCTCAAATAAACCTTCCTCTTTAAAACATTTCTATGATAGTAACATACTTTTTTCTACATTGTTAGAATTAGTAAAAGGCAACTGATCAAAGTAACAATTACTGCTTTTAAGCATTACCCACTACAGAGGAAGTCCCTTCGGCCAAGACAGGAAGGAGTGCGGAAGCACGCTGTCACTGCTGCGAGACAGGCCCCTGCCAGACCACCCCCGCCCTCAGTTTACAGCGCTACCTGCTCAGAAATTCCCAACACAAAAATAGGTAGAGGACAGCACATGGCTTCTTACAAACAGCAGTATTACTTGATTCATTGAATCCCTTGTAAGGAATATGCCAAAAATCAGAGAAATCCATCATCAAACAAATTATTATTTTTTATTAAAGATTTTTAAAGTTTTTTTTTTACTTAGAGAGAGAGAGCAGGGGAGGGGCAAAGAGAGGGAGAGAGAGAATCCCAAGTAAGCTCGAACCCACGAACCATGAGATCATGACCTGAGCCAAAACCGAGAGTTGAATGCTTAGCTGACTGAGCCCCCCCAGGCGCCCCTTCACCAAACTATTTTTACCGGTTGGCTGATAACTAAATTATTTCCTTCAATTTTGCTGAAAGCACAGAATGTCAAATATGCTACTTGGAAAGACTTGTCCTTAGAATAATTCATTTTCTTTCTGTGAGAGCAGCGTTCCTAATCGTCCCTTTGGTGGGTGCTCCATGGTGGCGTCTACACCTACTAGGCCCTCCTTTTGCAAATGGGGGACCAGCAGCCGAGGAAAGTAAGCCCGCAGGACCCCAGGCACTTGCTCGGTGCAGCAGCTGGATAGTGTCAGGGACAGCAGTGTGGACAATGGTGTGGACAACAATGCAGACAGCGGTGTGAACAATGGCATGGAAAAGGGTGTAGACAATGGTGAGGACAACAGTGTGGACAACGGTGTGGACAACAGTGCAGACAACAGTGTGGACAGTGGTGTGGACAATGGTGTAGATGACGGTGTGGACAGTGGTGTGGACAACAGTGTGAACAACCGTGTGGACAATGGCGTGGACAACGGTGTGGACAGTGGCATGGACAAGTGTGGACAGTGGTGTGGACAATGTGTGGACAACGGTGTGGACAGTGGTGTGGACAACAGTGTGGAAAATAGTGTGGACAATGGCATGGACAACAGTGTGAACAACAGTGTGGACAATGGTGTGGACAACAGTGTGGACAGTGGTGTGGACAATGGTGTAGACAGTGGTGTGGACAACACTGTGGACAAAAGCGTGGACAACGGCATAGACAAAAGTGTGGACAACGGCGTGGACAACAGTGTGGCAGTCTCTCTGAATGTGAAATTCAGAATCACCACAGGACCCAGCAAGGGGACGCCTGGCACACACCCAGAAGTGAAAACACAAGTCACACAAACATTTATGCGTGGGTGTTCCAGCAGCATTATTCATGATAACCACTGACATCCAACCCACAGGTGCACACCCTGACCAGCGAGTAAACAGAACGTACTCCATGCACAGTGGGCGGTGCTCAGCGATAAAGAGGAGCGTAAGACAGATACACCCACGACGTGGATGAACCGGGAGACGCCGGGCTTCATGGGGGCCCATCACAAAATGCGCCTCGCATGTGATTCCTTACGTGGTACATGCCGAGGAGACAAAGCCATGGTGGAAAGTGGAGGGTGGGAGGCAGCGGGTACAAGCGGCTGGGCGTTTGTGTACAGTGACATTGAGGATTTGGAATTACTGATGTTTGTGCAGTGTTGTGAACATACCAAAAATCACTACATTGTATGCTTTGAAATGGTGAAAACAGTAGACTTTACGTTAAGTGAATTTTATGTAACAAAAAATGTTGCTGTATGCTGTGAGGATTTTCACACAGGAGCATAGAAATGAGGCTCTTTCACCAGCACCTGTGAAATAATAACGCTCTCAGACGTACTGACCCGCTGCCCCTCCTCCAGCCACAGGGCACCCATGGGTACCGCTCGAGCACCTGCCGCCACACCTGTCCCTGGAATTTGACATCGGCCCTCAAACTGCCCATGGCACACCGAGACGGGTCTGCGCCACAGGGTGGATGGGGGGTGTCCCAGGACAGGGCCCAGGTCTGCGAGCCACACTGTGGGATGAAGCCCCCAAGGGAAGCAAGCTGGCCACGGCCCCACACTCCCTGGCTCTCGCGAGGGGTCCTCCCTGCGCCCTGGCCACAGCTCTTCAGCTGCTTCCACGCCTGCACCGGGAGGGTGATGCTCTCTGCCCAGCACAGCGCACGCAGGACGGTCTTTGGTGGAGGTACCGGCCCTGGCTTCTCTCCCCACTGAGCGCGCTGCAGTCCAGAGCGTGGGTACAGTGACCCTGGCTGCCAGACGCAAGACGTGGAGGGGTCGCCACCCACGGGGGCCAGGCAGAGCCCCCTGCTCCAGGGGAAACATGATAACCGCCAGGAAACCCTCACCGACCTTCCCCCGCCCCCCCCGAAAGCCCATCACCTGTCAAGGTGGGGGCACGGCTGCCCCTGAGCTCCTCCGTGGCCGCCCTCTGGGCCGGTTTTTCAGAAGCTGCAGTCACTGGCGCCCTCTTCTCTTGGCCACAGGGAGCACTAGGGAAAAGCCTCTTCAGCACTTTTTCCACGAACACTACAACCAATTGACAAAGAAAAGAAAAGAAAGAATTATTCACGGCAGTTCATTTAAATTGCAAATGGTTTTAGGTAAAATGAAGATATATCCTGACATCACCACCTGAGAGCAAAGAGAAGGTGCCTGAGGACATGCCAGCGCTGTCCCCTCAGGACCCCCAGTGCTGTCCCCTAGAGGACCCTTCAGCACGGTTCCCCGAGGACCCCCAGAACTATCCCCCAGGGAACCCCCCGGGACTGTCCATCAGAGGAACCCCGAGGACCGTCCATCAGAGGGCACCCAGGACTGTCCATCAGAGG